AAATAGAGCAAATCCATTTCTTTCCCCAGGAGCAAGTACGGGCTGTGCGTAAACAGCGTGTCACAGTAGTTCAGGGTTGAACAGATTTATGACAAACCTAATAAGGCTGGAAACCATAACGCTGTAGTCATATGACCCAACCAAGAAAAATACATGGCTATTTCAGTTCCAAAGTAATCACGGATCTCATCTAGTGGTTGTTTATCTGAAAACAGTAGCTCCAGTGCACTTTTTTCAATCTGAGTTCGAGCAATGTCACTTACCTACAGAAATTACCCATTTTTGCTGAAGATGCTTAAGAAATTCTGTGCTGTGTAGCGGTAAAACATTCTCGACAAAGTTAGCCGAAATCAGAAATGGAACTGCATGGCATCCTTTATTAGGTATACTTCAGAAAGACAAGATCGATCGCTCACCTATGGCCATTCCTTCCGGAATTTTCACTGTCTTCATGCATGTTTGAAGCGTGATTCCACCACTGGGAGCACGTATCATGTCGACCATTTGTTTTACTAAAGGTATATATTAAATGATATTGTAAATTCTTTTTTTCCTTACTCAAAGACCTGTTGGTCGTAAAGTTTGATGCTTTCGACAGTTTTTTTTAATGAAAAAAAGCATGCTATTTCCTTTAAGTCATAGAATTAGTTTTTACGACCGAAAACTGGAGAAAAAAGACTTAATAGTCCATGATAATTACCAGTGCATTACTACTTAATTGACTTCAATTTACTAATAGTACAAGCGCTGGATTCAGCATATCCAGGTCATATAACGTAAGCAGAAAGTAACTACGAGTCCAAAAAAAGGAGAGCCCTGTAAATGCTTATTAAAAATCAGTGTGATCGACAAATAAAAGTACAAGTATTGTAGATATTATCGTAACTACCACAATGGGAGACCACGGGGTTGAGTCAATAATCTAAAAAATTACTCCAAATAAATTAACTCATGAGCTTAGCGATAGGCATATATTTCTACTTAAGGGGTGGAGAAGAGGATTTTTGTGGAATTTTCAGGAGATTATTTTTTATTAACCTTAAACGGTAAATTTCAAAAGAATGCATTGTCAAATAGGTTATGGAAAAAAAAA